TGTCTCCTCACAAGTAACAACAGTAATGTACACACTCAAGAACATGTCTCCTCACAAGGAACACAAGTATTGAGTAGCACCATATCTTAGACAGTAAAAGTTGAGAAAAAGAAGTGAAAAATTGAAAATATCCAAAGGAAAAAATCAAGGGAAGAGAAAATAGGAGAGTTGTATTAAGATTGATTTGTTCAGTTGTTTAGGACGGGAAAAGAATCTATAAGTGATTAGGATGATAAAACCTTGATGAGATTTCACACTTAGATAAAAAATAAGGAGTTAGCAGTAGAAATTTCGGATTTCTTGAAGGGATTTAGACTGGACTTGAGAGATTTGCTAAGCTTGTGATGATTAGACTGATATTTGATCTTGTGTTGACTCTATGGTATGTGGATTCGAAAGTTCTAACTAGTGTGGTGTTCCTGATGTCTGACTGACTGTTTCTTGTTTTCAAACCTCGACCCTGTTCTCTGTCTGATGTTTGCTTGAGGGCAAGCAAAAGCTAAGTCTGTGGGAGTTTATATATCATGGTTTTTATGGTTTTTATGGTTTTTAACCATGATATAAATCCTTTTTATTGAGTCTTTTTGTCTTTTTAGAGTCCTAGAAGAGTCTTTGCAGGTTATAGCATGTCTGGAGCATAATTGGAGATATTGGAGCCTTTTGGAGCATTTCGAGTTGAAGCCACGAAGTACCTAGCTCGAAGAAGAAAGTATGTGATATGGTGACGAGCGTCACCCATGAAGGAAGTAGGTCGTGGCAATTTATTAAAAGATAGAGCATTGTTTGCAGAATTGGCCCAGAAGTTCCATTATTTACAAGAATGCCTCAGATCGTGTTTAGCCTCTATTTATTAGGTTTTTCAGCCATTGTTGGCTTTGTAGCTTAGTTTTTTGAGAATTCAGAGAGTTAGAGAGAGATTTATTTAGAGCTTTTTGGGGAGACAGATCCTGTACTCTTTTGAGAAGAACCCCCTTATTCTTTTTCTCTTTCTCTTAATGCAATTTTATTAGTTATGTTTTGTGATTCCAAGATCATGTCTGAGTAATCTTCTAGTTAATTTAGGGCTTTTTCAAAGGTTGATGAAGAGTTTGTAGAATCGCTACTTGTTAGGAATATCTTTTGGTTTTTCATCTCTGCTTGCTTTAAAATTAAATTTCTTAGACACATCATCTAGAAATCCGAAAATCATAGGTTGTTAATTATATGTGAGAGCATTATTGTTAACCTGAACTAGTATTTGATGAGCAAAACAACTTAGTGCAAAGAGATTTGGCTTAGGAGTTTTGTGAACAATTGAATCTGATCATATTGCATGTTTAGGTTGTTAGGGTTTGCAAAGAGATTTGAAACTCTGTGATTTAAACATAGTTAACTTCTGCAATGAGAATTGATTAGTTATATATTTGATATTCATGTTTAAAACGGTTCTTAATCATTCCTATTTTTATGCATTCTACATTCTCGGATTTAACCTGCGAACTGTCCTGACTTAGCGCTTTTAGTCTTCTGAAACTTAGATCAACAACTTGAATTTCGTTTGCTTACTTTTATTTATTCATTCGTATTACATACATTACATTCTGCTTAGCTTCATCCGAACCTACATTCGATAATGTAGTTTACATTACTCTCTTGGGATTCGATACCCCTTGTACTACAACTGCTTTGTTGTGCACTTGCAGTATTTTTATTTGGGTAAAACCTGAGCCCTATCACCTCAACAAATAATCCTTCCAGTATGGTAAATACTAGAATATACTCTTCTTATGCCAATTATATAAATCGCCACATGCATCAACAGGATGATGGAAATTACCACCGCATACTACCATCTTCTCCGCCCCATAATCTCTGAACTGACTTTACATATAATTTCCGTCTAGCTTGGGAGGTGGATCATCAAATAGTTTTGTGTTCCTCTTCAACAATGTCATGCTCCGGCGCTATGGATGATCCATTGGTAGAAATCTTATGTGGCAATCAAACCAACACTTCTTTCGTCCATGCTTCAGCTGAAATTCATTTGTATTATCTAAACAATAAGGACACGATATCCTTCCATGTGTTGTCAATCTAGATAGCATCCCATATGCAGGAAAATCGCTTATGGTCTATATAAGTACATAACGCATCACAAAATGTTCTTTCCGAGAAACATCAAATGCTTAAACATCATTCTCTCATAACTATTGTAACTCAAAAACCAGTGGCTGCAATAACACATCCAGCGATCTCTTCATATGCTGGGCCAGGAACAAGAATGGTGAAGAACAGAAACTCCCGTTTCATACACAATGATGGTGGTAAATTGTAAGGTGTCACAATTACTGATCACAGCGAGTATTGCCTCCCATACTTCCGAAATGGGTTAAAACCATCTGTGCTTAATCCAAGGTACACATTCCTTCTCTCGTACGCATTCTCCAGATACAATGATTGTAAATGTTTTCATGCTTCTGCATCTGAAGGATGAGCTATTTCTCCATTAGATGAATGCTCTGCATGCCATCTCACTGCAGCCAATGTGTGCTGATTGAAATAGCCATTTTAACCTCTCTATTAAAGAAAAATACCACATACGTTTATATGGTACAGGAACCCTTCCACTTGTTGTTTGATACCGAGGTTTGCGGCACAACCGACATGTCAATCGGTTTTCATCCTCTCTCCAGTAGATCATACAGTTGTCGATGCACACATATATCATCTGATACGACAAACCCCAGACCAGCTACCAGTTTCTATATCTCATAATACGAATTTGGTGAAAGATTATCTTCACGCAAAATTGACTTCACAAATTCCGAAAATGCATCCACACAGTCCTCAGTCATATTGAAATCTGTCTTGATGTTCATCAATCTAGTTGCCGCTGATAAAGGTGAATCTCCTTCGCTACAACCTTTATATAACTGATTTTTCGCTCCGTCCACCATATCAGAAAACCTTCGGGCTTCTAAATTTGGTTCCTCTATTCTAACTCCCTCTTTAACAAACAATGCCACGGAATGCATCATTAACCATATAGATAGTACGTAACTGTTCATCTACTTCCGTTCTAGGTTCCTCTAACCTATATCCATGAAAATGTTCACTAGTACTAGAAAAATTCAACATTGAATCATTTTCTCTATTCGAATACCAAATCTTATAACCCGGTATAAATCCTCGTCTAATTAGATGATTCTGAACAGAAGATACCGAAATAAATCTATTATTCCCTCATTTGCTACATGGGCAGTACAACTTACCAGACTGTAATGTTGTCTCATGGTTTGATGCGAATTGAATGATTTGATGGATACCATTCGCAAACTCATCCATAATTTCTCTTGTCACTGGATCATTCGGAAATTTGTCTATCCACGACCAAAATTTTTTTAAACAATTCGAAGAAGACATTGTCAAACAATTTTTTGGATTTTAGCTTTGTTATATAAATAAGAAAAGGAGAGGAGAAGGGCTTAAATAGATCAATGTATGAGAATTTTTGACAGATTCCAACGGATTTTAAAATTCCAACAGCTAGAAAATGGCTATAAAACGGCTATATAACGGATATTTTTAAATGGTCACTATCCGTAGGAATTCCGTCGAAATTTTCCAATGGAAAATCCTGTCGAAATTCCATCAAATTTTTGATGGATTTCCAACGGCAAGAAGTCTGTCAGACAATTCCGACGGAAAAAATTATCGTTTTAATTTTCCGATGGAAATTCCGACGAATCTTCTAACGGCATTTTCCGATAGACATTCCAACGGATTTCCGACGGACTATACAAATTAATAAAAAAAAAGAAATAGGAAATAAAATTAAAATTAAAATTGTCAACAAAATAAAAATTATAGTTCAAACACATTATAAAATTTAAAATTAACCTAGAAACTTTCTCGACATGAACTCTTTCATTTTGTCAAATTCACCGTCTTTTGCATTGTGTCTAGTCTTTGACTCTGCAACTTCTTGTTCCAATGCGATTTTCCAGTTCCGTAGGTGGGTTTTCCCATAAAAATCTAGCCTTATACATTTCAGGAAGACATCCTAATCCAAATAAACGACCCTTGCTTTTTGGAGTATACTAAAACATAAAAAATATATATTAGAAACTACATAAAATACAAAAGAAATAAATAAATTTAAATTGAGTAATTATCTCTAAAACTATTGCGTCAACTTCTTCTCGGGGAAGGTCTTCGACGGGCGTTCCTTGCTGAGATAACTGAGTAAGTCGTTCTTTTTTTTTACTATGGACATTTTCAACAAGGTCAATGGCAATTCCGTCTTGCAATTGCTTAGTTGTCTGGTTGGTGTGGGTAACTTGCACAAAGTCATGGTAAGGGACAGGGACACAAGCATTTTCTTTCGCCTATATTACAAAGAAATAATTAATAAAAGCTAAAACAATAAGTAAGAAAAAATAACTCTTCTATAAATCTTACTATTTTTGCTACTCGCCGAACAAAACCCATGATTCCCGAATTATGCGTTGATATTTCTCTATCACCTCGGTCGCCCATTCGCTTTTTTAATTCTTTTTCGAGAGTTTTTTCGTCGCAGCCTTGGCCCAATAAATTTGGAAGCCTTTCCAACATGTCTCTGTCAGTCCAATAGGACAATCAAGAACACAATCTCTCCACTTTCGCTTCCAGTTGTGCGCAGATTGATATAGCCTTTTTAACCTCACTGTTAAAGGAAAATACCACATACGTTTATTTGGTACAGGAACCCTTCCACTTGTTGTTTGATACTGAGGTTTGCGGCAAAACCGACATGTCAATCGGTTTTTATCCTCTCTCCAGTAGATCATACAGTTATCAATGCACACATCTATCATTTGATTTGACAAACCCAGACCAGCTGCCAGTTTCTATATCTCCTAATACGAATCTGGTGAAAGATTATCTTCAGACAAAATTGACTTCACAAATTCCGAAAATGCATTCACACAGTCCTCAGACAAATTGAAATCTGTCTTGATGGTCATCAATCTAGTTGCCGTTGATAAAGGCGAATCTCCTTCGCTACAACCTTTATATAACTGATTTTTCGCTGCGTCTAGCATGACAGAAAACCTTCGGGCTTCTAAATTTGGTTCCTCTATTCTAACTCCCTCTTTAACAAACAATGCCACGGAAATGCATCATTAACCATATAGATAGTACGTAACTGTTCATCTACTTCCGTTCTAGGTTCCTCTAACCTATATCCATGAAAATGTTCACTAGTACTAGCAAAATTTAACATTGAATCATTTTCTCCATGCGAATACCAAATCTTATAACCCGATATAAATCCTCGTCTAATTAGATGATTCTGAACCGAAGATACCGAAATAAATCTATTATTCCCTTGTTTACTACGTGGACAGTACATCTTACCAGAGTGTAATGTTATCTCATGGTTTGATGTGAATTGAATGAATTGATGTAGACCTTCTGCGAACTCATCTATAATTTCTCCCGTCACTGGACTGTTCGGAGCTTTGTCTATCCACGACCGAAATTTATTTAAACGATTCGATGAAGACATTGTCAAACAATTTTTTGGATTTTAGTTGTTATATGAATGAGAAAAGGAGAGGAGAATGGTTTAAATAGGCCAATGTATGAGAATTTTTGACGGATTTCCGACAGATTTTAAAATTCCAACGGCTATAAAACGGCTATATAACGGATATTTTTAAATGGTCACTATTTTTAGGAATCCCGTCGGAAATCTGTCGGATATTTCCAATGGAAAATACAGTCGGAATTCCGTCAGAAATTTCTGATGGATTTTTGACGGCAAGAAGTCTATCAGAAAATACTGATGGAATTGCGACGGACAAAATTATCGTTTTAATTTTCCAATGGAAATTCTAACAGCCGTCTAACGGCATTTTCTTACAGACATTCTGATGGACTCTACAAAAATTAATTAAAACAAAAAAATTGGAAATTAAATTAAAATTAAAATTGTCAACAAAACAAAAATTATTATTCAAATACATTATAAAATTTAAAATTAACCTGGAAACTTTTTCGACATGAACTCTTTCATTTTGTCAAATTCGCCGTCTTTTGCATTGAGTCTAGTCTTTAACTCTACAACTTCTTGTTCCAATGCTATTTCCTGTTCCATAGGTGGGTTTTCCCTTAAAAATCCAGCCATGTACATTTCAGGAAGACATCCTAATCCAAATAAACAGCCCTTGTTTTTTGGAGTATACTACAACATAAAAAATATTTATTAGAAACTACATAAAATACTAAAGTAATAAATAAATTTAAATTAAGTAATTACCTCTAAAACCATTGCGTCGACATCTTCTCGGGGAAGGTCTTCGACGGGCATTCCTTGCTGAGATAACTGAGTAAGTCGTTCTTTTTTTTTCTACGGACTTTTTCAACAAGGTCAATGGCAATTATGTCTTGCATTTGCTTAGTTGTCTGGTTGGTGTGGGTAACTTGCACAAAGTCATAGTAAGGGACAGGGACACCACCACTTTCTTTCGCTTATATTACAAAGAAATAATTAATAAAAGCTAAAACAATAAGTAAGAAAAATAATTCATCTATAAATCTTACCATTTTTGCTACTCGCCGAACAAAACCCATGGCTCTCGAATTATGCGTGGATATTCCTTTACCACCTCGGTCGCCCATTCGGTTTTTTGAATTCTTTTTCGAGAGTTTTTCCGTCGCAGCCTCAGCCCAATAAATTTGGAAGCCTTTTCAACATGTCTCTGTCAACCCGATAGGACAATCAACAACACCATCTCTTCACTTTCGCTTCCAGTCATTCATGTGTCCTGAATACTGGAGAGCAACTCTGGCCTGGAATTCCTTTTCCACCTCAGAGGAGTGTATAGAGTCCCATGAATAATGATGCTACATATTAAAAAGAAAAAAAAAGATTAGAAATTACTTATTGGAAAAACAAATATGATACATTTAAATAATTTAAATAACTTACCGCGAAAGAAAGAAACAACATATATTTCTCTTCTTGTGCCATTTTAGAATATATTTTGTAAGGTATTTTAAGCATTCCCTGCAACATATATTAATCATGTTTATCCAAGCCAAACCAGGTTGAGTTTCCTCGACAAAGAGGATCGAGCTTGGTCTTACTATCCTGATCCGTCTCCATAATCTCATTTACGTCTACTTAAGTTGAAGGAACATTACTGTTACCGAGAATACAACTATCTAGAAGCTGACCATCTTGGGATCTAAAATAACTATACAATGCCCTAAAAAAATTTTGTAATACATTATAAATTAATAACAATATAGAAAGATTATATTTTATTAGATAATATGAATAACCAATATTATCATAAAATTATAAAAATTACGAAAAAAATCACAATTATATTAAAAATTATAATAAAATCCGCAAAAATAATTATTATTATTTATAATTATAGTATAAAATGTAATTATTAAAAATAATTATAATAAAATTGGCAAAATTTTAAAGTACAATTTCGAAAATCATAATTATATAAATTATAACAATTAGGGAAAACGTAATTATGTAAAATAATTATAATAAAATTGCAAAAACAAATTATAAAATAAATAAATCACAGATCTATTAATCTAACAATTATTAAAAAACGTAAATGAGCAATGACAGGAATGGAATTTTGTAGATCTACAAACCTAATAATTAAAACCAAAAATAAGTGTAAATCATTTTATAACCCGATATTACTAGAAAAGTTCAACATGGAATCATTTTCTCCATGCGAATACCAAATCTTATAACCCAATATAAATCCTCATCTAATTAGATGATTCTGAACAGAAAATACGAAATAAATCTATTATTCCCTCATTTACTACATGGACAGTACATCTTACCAAATTGTAATGTTATCTCCTACTTTGATGCAAATTAAATGAATTGATGTAGACCTTCCGCGAACTCATCCGTAATTTTTCCCGTCACTGGATCGTTCTGATATTTGTCTATCCACGACCAAAATTTTTAAAACGATTCGAAGAAGACATTGTCAAACAATTTTTTGGATTTTAGCTTTGTCATATGAATGAGAAAAGGAGAGGAAAAGGGTTTAAATAGGCCAATGTATGAGAATTTTTGACGGATTTTAAAATTCCAATGGCTATATAATGGCTATTTTTAAACAGTCCCTATTCGTAGGAATCCCGTCGGAAAGTTCCAACAGAAATCTAGTCGGAATTTCGTCAGAAATTTCTGACAGATTTCTGACGAAAATTGTTTCTGACGGATTACTGACAGATATTTCTGATGGCAAGAAGTCCGTCGGAAAATTCTGATGGATAAAACTGTCGGTTTAATTTTCCAACAGAATTATCCGTCAGAATTTCGTTCGATTTCCATCAAAAAATTTCAGAGGAAAATTATGCCGTCAGAATATCCGTCGGAAATCGACATGTTTTCTTGTAGTGGATGGTTGCATAAGCTAACTAAGATATTATAGGATATCATGGTTCTGAGCATTATACTATTGGTTGTGTGTATCTCATTAGGAAAAGCAGAGGTATCACATTATAGAGGAATTTGTAGCTGTAGTTGTTTCACATCCACTAAGGAAGCTAAGAATGTGACACTTCTGTGAAGCTTCTATTATTAAAACAAGTTTTCAGAATTTTCTTTAAGTTTATGTCATTGAGTATAACTTTTTATGTGACAATAAAAATTGTAAAATGTTCTCTAAATAAGACATCATATCTAAAGATCCGATTATATGAGCATTAAGCTTAAATATATGTCGCTAAAGCAAATGTTTTGAAAGAAAAAAGTTTCTCATTGTACAAATAAGTGGTAAATTTATGGTTACAGAAAAATATATGAATGCATTAACTCCTTAAGACTTTATGATGCATGCTGAAAGTATGCTTTAAAAGTATGTGTTGAAAGTATGCGTTTTGAATATATCTCTTAATTTTGTTGAATGTTTATGTTTAGCCTATATTTGATAATTATTTGAGCTCTTTAATGATTTTTCCAATTTTAATTTATTTTGATTCCAATGTGCATACACATTATTGTTTGTTGAACTTATGATAGCAGAATACGTCTTTATTTAAAGACATAAAAAGGATCATAATTAAAATAATTTCTACTTATGTTTACTGTCTAGTAATGAAGGTAATCAATGAAGTAATACATGGAAAAGATTATGTTGCAAATTTATGTAAGACCGCCATGACTTCCATTGAATACTAGATTAGCGAAGACACTAATAATGACCAAATGAAAATAAAGATATAGCATATCATACTGCCCTTTATGATGCAATAAAAATTGCATTGTACTAACGACCAAGTGGGAGAATGTAAAAAATATATCTATCCCTAATTATCTGATCTTATTATTAAACATTTTCTATTGGGATGTTATACATTCGTAATAAGTGAAATTAGAGATTAAGGAATCCAAATTCATTATAAATTTAGACAAGTAGTAATAAAATTAAGAAGATAAGTGGTATAGAGACAAAATACATACATGTCAATCTTAAAGTAATACCTCAGAAAAATGTTTTAAGGATATATCTTCTTTGCACATTCATCTCCCTTGAATGTCTTAGCCTCTAAGTTTGTGACATTTTTTTTATCAATTCGAAAGCACCGAACTCTGATACCATTCCTATGCAAGAACCTCAGGCATCGTATTGACTAGAGTGGTGTTGACAAACGGGGGCGGTAATTTCCAAGTAAGGGAGCTCTACTGGGCACTTCTGGCCTCTTACTTGCTCAACTACCGTTAAGAATTTTACCCCCTTCCAAATGTTGTGTCGACTAGAGTGGTATTGATAAACCAGAAAGCTCTAGCAACGATCTGGAGCCGATCGGCGTCTTTCTGATGATTGAAAGTAACCAAAGCTTACGAAGATGTTGAGAAGTCTGGAAAACGAAAGAGTTTAGAGACTCGTTAGGAATTTTACCCCCCTCCGAATGTCGTGTTGACTAGAGTCGTATTGATAAACCAGAAAGCTTTAGGAAAGATCTAGAGCAGATCAGCGTCTTTCTCATGATTGAAAGTAACCAAAGCTTATCAAGATATTAAGAAGTCTGGAAAACGAAAGAGTTTAGAGACTCATTTAGAGAGAGAAACTAGAGATAGATTTTTATAGAAATTCTGAGATGAATTTTTACAATGGGGTGCACACATATTTATATGGGAGGAATGGTGCGTGCTGACATAAGCGCTTACCTCATTTATACATTATTGATGCGCTGACATAAGCGCTTACATCATTACTTATGCGATTACATCATCGCTTACATCATTGCTTACTTATTTAAACATGCTTATTATACATAATTATACATAATGAAGTACTTAGAATTACGTCATTTAGTGATCTGTTTCGAACTCGATGATATGCTTGTCGCAACAGCCGTAATAATCTCCTAGACATTTGTATTCTTCCTCTGGTTTTTTGAAGATTTCTTCAGGTTCCGTGTTAACGTCAATGTTGAACATTTTTCCGATTTCGTCAATATTCATGGAGTCGTCAGGGAGTTGTGCGTCTTGGAAATATTCTGGCGGGCAATGTTGAGACGTCTCTTCTTGTTTTACTATCTCTGGAATGTCCTGCTTTATTACCTTAGTAATATCTGTCATGCTTTGTTGTTTCGTTATGAAGTATTGTAAATCTTCGCGAGGCTCATCTGGTAGTCAGCAAAATAGTAGATCCATCTTGGGTTGAACGGAATGGGGAAGGTTTGGCTGGCATTGTTGAGACGAAATGCATACATTTGAAAGTCTTCGTAAGGCTTGTTGTCATGGATATTGAAGTCTGGACAGATTTCTCTTTAGTAGTCGTTGTGGTGAATGAGTGTGGGTAGTGCATGGACTTTGTTGGACTTGATGTTGATTTGAACAGGTCGGTGTAAGAAGTATATAGTAAGAGAATGGCATCGATGTAAATTAGAGCCGTGTCGATTGGGGGCTTGAATATCCGTAACATCGCCTGCTGAAATAGTAAAGGTGCTGTTTTAAATCCGAAAGGCAGAACACTCCACTAAAGATAGCGATTTGGCAGACAAAATGCTGTCTTGTATCTCTCTTCTAGATGTAATCCAAATTGCTAGAAGCCTGATTTGAGGTCGAATTTTGAGAATATTGTTGCTCTTTGTAGAAGTTGTAGAAGGGCCTTTTTGTTTGGCAGAGGAAACTTGACATCTTGAAGATATTGGTTTAAGGGCTTGTAATTGATAACTAGCCTGAGTTTCCCCCGTGCTTGTTCTGCTCTGTTATTGACGTAAAATGTTTTACACGCCCACGGGGATTTTGTTGATGAAACGATTCCTTGATTTACCAGTTGGTCACATTCTTCGTTTGCTTGTTGTAGCAAAGTAGGTGGCATTCCTGCATGACTAGCTCTTATTGGAGTGGTGTGAATATTTTCTTTGAAAGGTATTGACACAAAGAACTCTTAATTTAGCCACAAAGGATTGTTGCATTTTTGAAGGAAATCCGTATAAGAATCTGCACAAGAGATTATCGTGATTTTCTCTTTTATCTTGTTGAATTTGTGAGGCGCTGCTTCTTTAAGTGAGAATAGGTGGGGTATTGTTATAAAGGCTATGTAGAAAGTCTTCCATTTCCGTGGTTCGAGAGAGGTATCAAACTTTCTCTTTAATGCATAGTATGTATCCCATCCCATGATGAGATCTTTTCCAGGTGCAGATGAACCAAGGACTTCAGTTGTAACTTGACATCCAGGGAAGAGTTCTATGGTTATTGGTTTTGACTTGAGCTTGACTGATAGCGAGCCAGTATTTGTGACTCAAAACTCTTGGTTGTGCGGCAGCCACATAGACGACAGAAGAACATTGCGATACATTATAGATGAATAAGCGTCCATGTCTATAAACGCGATTGCATGAACTGGTTCTTCTTTTCTCCGTGGATCAAAGATTGTGACAGGCAAGTGTGGCAACTGAATCTCATCTTGTTGTGGTATTTCAGAGATTTTGAAGCAACATTCTTCTTCATCTTCTTCTAATGATGATTCAGATGAGTTATCAGAATCTGAGTATCCGCATATAGCATCATTGCCCTCACTATAGTATGATAGAATGGACTCCAATTCATGGTTGTCTAGGTCGATATCTGGTGCAATAGTGGATATCGAGCTAATGAGATATGGCTTCTTCTTCTTCGACTTGTTCGGGCAACTTTTTGCGAAATGTCCTTCTTTACATCAAAGAAAGCATCTTGTTGTTTTCTCGAAGCTTCGTTTCTTCCTGGAGAACTGTTTGCGCCTAAATTTGTTGAAGCGCCTTTGAAATTGTTTTCTAGACCTTCAAGATTTGTTTCGAGGTTCGCATGAACAAGTCCTCTTGTATTTTGAACACTTGATTGATAGATCTGGTCTAGCACAGATCTTGGACAACTGCTTTGATTTGTCCATGAACTCCATCCAGAACTCCTTTTGTTTGCAAAGTTTGTCGAGTGTTCTAAAGACGTATTGTCGGATTTGACCAATGAAGATTTCTTCAATTGTTTGGCATTGATCTCTGATATACATCTTGGTTTTCTGACTCAGGTAGTCATCTATGAAGGAAAGATAAATTTATTTCGAGCTTAGGTTATTGAGGCCATTGAGTGCATAATATCTCCGCGTTTGACGTTCGAAGTGCTTAGCTAAATCCTTCTTCTTGAGCGAACAACATTTTGCCATGAAAATGGTTGTTTGGTATACTTATTGCTGTCGGTATTCACCAAGCGAATTCCACCATTCTTTAAGAGCTTTGGATAGGGACGTTGTGAATAGTTGAATGGCAAGCTCTAATGGCGATGTTATGGCTTCTGAAGTCATCCATGCATGAAATTCGTCAAGTCAATCATTCTATTTTTTAAAAGACCACATTTATATATGGTTCTCTTTTTGGGGCATTTGATCCTTCTCCAATAGCGAATTTCTTTGGGAGCGACTCCTTGTCTGAATTGTCATCGTAGCTAGTGGAGCTTGTGTCAGAAAAATGTCTAATCATCGTGATTGGTTATGAACTGACTTGAGTTGATTGGGCTCGTCCTCTAGGTACCGTTTCAGTAGAATTTTTGCCGATAGTATCGAGTAAGCTGGACATCGAGAATTCGATTATTCCGATATCTTTTTCCTTCTTCTTCGAATCTTCAATAAATTTGTGGCTTGAGGATAAGGTAAGAGTTGGTCTCTTAGTTGGATTGACTAGGAATTCTGAGTCCTTTTGTGTTCTTGGTTTTGCCCGAGTTGTTCTTTTAAAATTTCTTACTGATGGCGTGCCATATCGAGATGTGAAAGCTTCATCGGATGATAAGAATCCTGGGAGAGATGGCTTTGGTCTTTGTTCTTCATAGCCGGAGAGAAATCCCGGGGAGTAGGAACCTTGATACATAGGTATCCCTGAAGGCATACTTCCAAGAGGATTAAAGTATATATCTGTTTGAGGTTAGCCGTCTCAGCTTCTTTGCTATCTAAATTCGACGTGTGAAGCATCATGTGTTGTGCCATAGCTGTCATTTCTTGATGAAGATTATTAAGTTGGCCATGGATCTCCATTATTGAGTTTTGTATAATGCTCAGCCTTTTTTTGTAGCCATCAGTAAGTTGATCAACCTTATGATTTATTGTTGTCAAAAGTTGATAATGGACTAGGGCAGTCTCAGTTTGCCAGTTGAAGACCTTTTCTTCTTGGCTTAGCTGGTCAGGTCCGGTTGAGTTGATGGCTCTTGTGAGTATCTTTGGACTGTGAGCGATACCGTCTTTGGTGAAATCCTCGGGTGGAGGGAAGTTGTTTGCTTGCATCATCATGGTTTTTAGTTCTTCCCTTTTCTCCGAGTATTGGGTAATGAAATCATATTTGTCATCACCTAACGGGCCGAAAATGGGATCGCCATCGAGATATCGCCTTCAAGATATCTCTTGAAATAGTATTAGAGCCTGGTGCTTTCTAATTGATGGAAAGAATCATCGTTTACGATTGATTGTGTTTTGGAAAATACTTTCTCACCATGTCTACTTCAAATTCTTTATCAATCGATTCTCCATTATCAATTTCTACTTTACCAAAAAAAAAAAAGTCGTTCATCCTCTTCCAGCATAAATTCCCTGTACAAAATCGAATATGTTCTGGGAGATCAACTACTCGAAACTACCCTTCCACTGGTGAATCCATACAAATACTTTGCAAAAAAGCCTAGCGCCTTTTCTGTCAAAGGTGTTCGCGAGCTAATTAAGCCATCTTCAAACAGAAGAATTATGGAATATGTCCAATCCAGCAAATTCTCATCATGTCAAGTTCCAGCCACTGAATAAGAACAGTTCATCTCGCTTAACATTCCAGAAAATTTACCAAGGTTATAGCAACAGCACGGATACACTCATCTTCACTTCGGAGTAGTACGAATTGGTCTGAACCTACACGCTCGAAAAGGTCTACCAGTAGTGGCCCGCGTAGCTTTAGTCGACTCAAGACTAAAGTCGTACCAACAAGCCTGCATCGGAACTGTTCAGACAACATTTAACGCGGAGACAGCATTTGTCACACTGTTTTCAAACTTTAATGTTTCCCTGAAAGATTCCAATCTGCTACAAATGCTGAAAGTTCAATTACAACTAGTCGGAGCACCTATGCAAGAAAAAAGCATCGTAGAAACCCTACACCATCATATCGTCTATCGAATACAAGATCATGCTCTTGATCTTGCATTGCCATCATCTGAGGAAGCCTTATACCTCGAAGTCACATCGGCATTGCAGGCACCCAACTCAATTCAGATTCTTTGACCAATTTCTCGCGATGAGTTACTACGTCGACTACCAGAATCATGGGTCACAAGCTATGAAAAGCTCAATCAAGCAACCCAGGCGCTAGTCCAGACATCTGAAGTCAGCTTCCATTCTCGGAATGATGGAATAACAGAAATCAAGTTCGAAAAACCAAGATCACCATCGTTTCGGAAGCAGCTGTTCACCCAATTTGCCATTCAACTTGATGAACACAATTTTCATAGTCAATTCAGTGTACAGCCAATTTCTTGGATCGGTCGTCTACCCTTTCAAGGATGAGAATAGACATCAATACTTTGATATATTTTCTTACACTGCTTACGCAAAAGATTTCTACGAATCCGATGATGAAGTTTGCTTAAAAAAAAAAAAAAAAAAAAAAAAGCATCATCATAATTTTGGTTCTTCCCTTTTTTTTGAGTATTGAACATTGAAATTATATTTGTCATTATTTAACGGACCTACAGTAAAATCATCTTCGAGATATCTTTTGTAAAGAGAATCTTTCTTTTATCATCGCCATTGCAAGACACTTGTCCTTATCACTATAATGCATTTAATCTCTTCTTTGATGAATGACTGATATTAATTCCAAAATATAACCTAATAAAGAAGGAGGTCTTCTCTCCTCCTATAAATAACAAAGACATACACTTATGAAACACAACACTTAAAAAGAAAAATTTATGAGAAAGGAGAGAGAAGTCTTACGTTCCTAACGAAAGATTAAATTTTCATCTTCAACTGAAGGAGCCATTCAACAAAACTTTTCCACTACAAAAATGGAGGTACTTTTACTAACCTCTTTATGTGATCATTACATATGTTTAAAGATCTTAGGATTCATTTAAATTAAGCTTACGGATTCAACATCTTTTCTTTCTAAAAATGGTAGGAATGTGTTTTAAATTGATGGAAAATCTTTTTTGGTCATATATAGTCTTTTTACTTGCTAGACAATCAACTAATAATTCTAAAGTATTTTGTCCTTCTTTTTCATCTTTCTTTTGTACAAATGGAAAAAAGTAAAATATCTAACGAGAAACTGGTTAATAGGATCACATCAGTTTCGTAAGACATTTTCAGTATAACGGATTCCTACAGGGCTCGTTATTGCTTTCATATATTATTATCAGCAACATACTCGGAAGTACCTATAAATCTGTTTTCAAATAAGCTATTTTCATTTACATCAACGAATCAACAAAAAGAAGTTTTGGATTATAAAAAAAACAAATACAAGTTACATCAAAATCAGCAAAAGAGATTTTTTTGATGATGAAAAAGCAAAACACAAGTTATATGGACAAATTCTTGCATCAAACCATAACATCTAGAGGTTTCATAATGCTAAAATTCCCAGTCAAAACATGATCACACCACTCAACTTTACCCCAAATCTCTCCTCCTTGACGTCTTTCCAGCGAAACCTCGGCACACCAAATCTTTCTTGATTTTTCTTCTCCTTCAAGAAAAACCAAACCCAGTCTCCCACCGTAACTCACCATCTCAATCTCTAGCCATCCTGAACGTTCTTGCAAAAATTCTTCCATACCTTTCAACACTCCCCAACATCTCTCATTTGGATCATACGTTCTTATACTCCTCTTAACCCAATTATAGTAGTACAATACCTCATCGACCACACACGCATCTTTCCACATCTCTAGACTTAGCTTCTCGTCCATTTTCCAAATACCTTCCCCTGGCTCGTATACAAAGCTATTCTTAGAATTCCTCATGTAAATCTTACCAGCCATCACCACCAAACGCTACCCAAGTAACCTATCTGCCCCCATTGTCTAGCTTTATCATCCTAGGCTCCCACGTTTGTGTTTCTGTATTGAATACCACCATCACCTTCTTCAAGTCAAAGTATCCAACTATGTAGATTCTCCCGTCGATGATGTCAGCAAGATTTTCATTAGCGGTATAAGGTATACGCACACCAGGGAGATGTTGCACCGTGTGCGATCTACAATCGATGGTTAACACATTCGATTTTGCAATCAGAGTACAATAGTTCTTCATTCTACCAACTACATATATCCTCGAGCCCAACACGACAAAGCGTTTACCACAAGGCAAGGAGGACAGCGAAGGGACAAGGACCAAGCGGCTGTTGCCGTTGGCTTTCCGGCGGAGAATGTAGCAACGGTTAACACTATTGTCTATGTCATAGAGGACAACATAGAGACAGTGTTCGGTGCAGCCTAACGAAGATTGTCTCGAGTATATCTCAGTCGAGGAAACAAGTGACTTGATGTACTTGGAAACGAGAGAAAGTGTTGGATAGTAACATCTCGGTGCACGCGCTAAGATGTCAACGATGATGTCTTCGGGAAGTTCCGGAATCACAGGCGGTGGGTCCGTTGATGGCTCCTCCGCCCTTGTTTTGGATGACATCTCCATATCAATTATTATATCACTTGGAGAGAAAATCACAAAACCCTAATTTGAGGCTCAAATATACAAATTAAACAGCGAGAGAGAGGAGAGCGTAAAACCCTAATCTCTTCAGAGAGTTCCGATGTTCTTAGTGACCTCTCCAAATATTTTTATTATTATCTGGATATCTAACGACTGGTTATTTTTTTGGTTCCTCTCTGATTTCTTGCCGCCCACGGTACATAAGAGAACAATTAAAGACAGAAACCTTATTAGGTGAAGCTGGACCAACCCTGGGTTTCATAATCTTGATTTTGATGGTTTTCTGTTTCGCTGCACCCGAAAAACGGTAAACCAGAGAGGGATGAACCGTGAAAGAAAACCGGTTTAAACCGCATGACCTCAAGTGAGCTTATCCGTTTGGTTTGCAACTAGTACCACCCAAAACGGCAAAAACCTTTAGTGATACTGTGTCATAACATCAGTACTGAAAATGTTTTTATTACAGTGAACACATCTCGCAATTGAATGGTTGTTGTTGAAAGAAAACTCATTACATATGTGGTTCTTGCAAAATCTTACATTCACCAAACTAAATGAATCAAAGAACAGAAAATCTTGAGCTTTTTTAACCAATTGCAGTTTTTCTGTGGGCTTGTTTCTTTCACTTCTCAACCTCAAGTAATGCAGGAGATAATGTAGAAGATATTTGAGTGTCGCTTGAAATCGCGTCTGGTTTTTCACGGTTTCCCATGTAAGTCATGTAGATTGTCCACAGATACGAAAACTGGTTGCTTGCAAGAGGCTGCAGAAAAATTAAAAGGCAAGATCAGACTGAGTGAATCTTGAGATAATCAGCAAAACCATGGGGAAAACTAAAGCGATTTCTTGAACCACATGTCTAAAATGAAGAAGTGTGAGTCAAATAATTGTTACCTGTAAGTGAACAGGGAAGAACTTGAATGTTATGAAATCACAGATGGGCCAATACATGACACAGTTTAGCATCGCTGGGAGAAAGTCTCTTTTCAATCTCGCAACTATATCCGAACCGCCTTCACCTGAAGAAAAGAAACGGAAAGTAGAATGGCTTAGAAAATGGTTTAATGTATCTTTTCATTTGTAGGACACATCAAAGATTAAACAAACACGACACCAAGAAATGAACCTGATATTAAACTCAGCAGAAGTTACAATCTGACAAGAGACTGTGGGATTCTATTTGAGCGATAGCTAATGGAAACAACCAATTCAATCATCAGTAATCACAAGTAAATGATTTAGAGTAGAGAAAACTGTAATGTGGAGATCTAGTTCACAAAATATTCAAAACACTGAGATAAAATGAAACTCCAACACTGGTTTTAATGGAATTGTCTTTTCTTTGTAAGACAAACCTGAGACTCTGTGTGACTCTCAGTAAACTAAAAGCAGAAGTTACAATCAGACAAAAAACTATGGGATTCTACTTGAGCGATAGCTAACGGAAGTAACCAATTCAATCATCAGTATTTGCAAGCAAAATGATTTAGAGTAGAGAAAACTGTAATGTAGATCAAACATAAACTGATCTAGTTCACACAAAAATTCATGAATAATAAAATTAGATTTAGAGTTGGATAGTATCGTAATATTCTACAAGATATAAGGAGCTTACCTTGTAGCAAAGCGTTCACTGAGAAGAAGATCACCATCATGGTAGGCCCGTAGATAAACTGTCCCATGGCCATTTTCTTAAACGTTGTGATCATATCTTGTTTGGGGAAGAGTCTTGACATGAAATTGAACCAATGATGAAGTGTTGGACCCAAGACAAATAGACCATATCCTCCCATCCTTGTTGTTCTCACCAAGTCATAAGACTCTGAAGAAGTTTTCGCAATCGTCTGTTTGAAAAGATCAATACACAAAGTGACCAATATCAGCTCTAAGTGGAAGGCTCAATGCAATACAGTACAAGGAAAAGTAACGCCACAATATCACATTAAACAGCTAAATCAAATCGCCATTTCAAGATATTCCATTACTCAAATATCTTTTGTTTTGCAATTGCAATCACACATTACTACATTAAGATCTAAACTTATAAAGAACAGACCCGAGTAATTTCAAAAAGGTTCCTGCTTTAAGCACCATGGTTACATACATGTGTTCTCTTCATATGTAACTTGCGCAATTTTGGCATTTGTGAATCACAATATGTAACTAAATTGTCAAGAGAAGAACCATTTAAGAAGTCAAATTACAAATTTCACAAAAACGGAAAGAAGAAAAATCACAAAGTTTTAAAAGGGAAAGTAGGAAACCTATTTTCCAGGAAACTGAAATCTTAAATAATTTCAAAATTTGAAGCAATTTCAAGGTACCTGAGAAGACAAATCGGCGGCAATGTAAATTAACGAGGAAGTGACACTTTTGGTGAGAACTGGGCGTGATTTCACCATTCCGAGATACCAGCCGACGAAACCCACCGGCGGAGACGAGGAGGAAGAAGAAGACGATGAACAGAAACGCGAAGAATAAGGAGGTGAGGCTCCGATTTCTTTTGATCTCCGCAAATAAGGCCTCGATTGCAATCGCCAGACGTCGGAAGGAGCAATGCCGGTTTTACCAAACGGGTCTGCCGCCGCCGCCGCCGCTTTACGCCGTATCAGCCGGGCGGCGTCGGCGGCGACGTTTCTGAACAATGCTCCGCTCATTATGCTTCGCTCTGTGTTTGTTTCTCCGAGATTTTCTAGTGGTCAGTGTAGTGTGAAAGCTGCCCATTCCCAATCGGTTTACATAAACCGTATCTAAACCGAGTAACCCGAAATTGAAATTCGAAAGTCGATTTACCTAATGCTGTTCAAACATTTTTTTTTTGTCATCAAAAGCACCATTATATTAAGTTCATAGGTTGGGGCTTTCTTCATAAGAAAGCCACGGCGGAGCCACCGAAGTTACATAGGAAAAACAGAAACCTCGTGATTTTGTACATTTCGCAAGTTTATCAGCATGGGTATTTTGATCTCGAGGGATATTAATAATATCAAAAGATACAAAAGATTGCCTTAAATATCTAAATTCGTCTAATTCAGATATAAAAGATGACCAGTCTTCATGGTGGTTAGTCATCGTGAACAGATCCATGCAGTCCATCGCAAAACAAATATTAGGCATGACCTCTAATATCAAACATTTCATGGCCCAGAGGAGAGACTCTATTTCCGCATGAAGAGGAGATAGACATCTTCGTGATCCCTTTAGGCCCATGCGTATTATCTTGTCTTCTAGTGTCACAACTCATCCATGTCCACTCCGGACATCCGATTCGACCCAAGAACCGTCTATAAAACATACAGACACCAATGGCAAATGAAGTCTAGGTAAGTTCATTGAGTTCACCTCGCCTGTAGTTGATGTGTCCCGTAGATTTGCCACCATCCACTCTTTTGATTCCTGGATCGCATGTGATATCGTTTCCTGCGGGTCTTCAATCTCATTAGCGAAAATTCTTTTGTTCCTAGCTTTCCATATAAACCACATAATCCACGGGAATGTCCGGATCGAATCTTCATCTCCACCTAATTTCTTTGCTCTCCAAAAAAAAGGAAGTCAAGATTGGTAAATATCACTTGTGAGGGGAACCGGCCAGGCCTCGATGGTATTGATGATAAGGCCCAAACTTATCTTGCCAATGGGCATTCGAATAGCAGATGATTAATAGTCTCCTCCTCCGCTCCGCAACGGGGGCATCCCTTCTCTTGGCTAATATGGCGGTAATGGAGGTTATAGCATGAAGCCAAACATCCGGAAATACATTGCCACACAAAATGTTTGAGTTTCCGTGTAGTTTTTAGTTTCCACGCTTGCGCCTTGAGTACCGTAGTACTAGGTCCCTGAAGAGGGCGGTCGCGAACGTGACGAGATAAAGTTCTCGCGGCCCAATATCCAGACTTTACTGTGTAGTTCCCTGTCTTAGTAAGGGGCCAGCTATACCCATCTCTCAAACCTGAGCGGTTTGGACGAATCCCCAAAATTAAGGTAATTTCTTCCGGTGGGAATAAGGCAGAAAGTCTATCCATCTTCCATTGTTTTGTCTCAAAATCTATTAGTGAGTTGACATATGGACATGGGTCTGTCTCGCCTGCCAAGCTCTTGGGCAGCCGTGCAGGGTGGTCTGGAATTCAAGATTCTGACCACACTCTAGTACCAAATCTTTTTTTGATCGTTCTGCGCACTTCCGAGGTTATGAGTGGTTTTGCAGCCATTATACTCCTCCACCCATAAGAGGGGCGGTTTGATACATTGATATCCAGCGGGCTACAATATTTGTAGTAGCGCCCCTTAAGCACTTGGCTTGGAAGAGAATCTGGGAATCTAAGGAGGCGCCAAAACTGTTTTCCTAAAAGAGCTAAATTAAACTCCTCCAACGTTCTAAAGCCCAGTCCACCATCTGCTAGCTGAGAACATAGTTTCTCCCAGGCCATCCAATGGATCCCTCTTGAGTCACTCTTGGAGCTCCACCAGAAATTTGCTATAGCACTACTAAGCTTGGCACAAATAGATTTCGGGAAAGGAAGCACGACATAACATAGGTCGGAAGGGCCTGAGCTTGGGATTTGATCAGTATCTCCTTACCCCCTTTAGAGAGCAGCTGCGAGGACCAAGAGGTTACCCGACTCTGTAACCGATCTCTGACAAAGGCAAAAACCTGGTTTTTTGAACCATGAATCTTTTCCGGGAGGCCTAGATATGTACCCATACCCCCTTCCTGTGTTATCCCCACTAGAGATTTTATCTCACAGTGCAGGGGGCTAGCGACATCACTGCCAAACATGATCAAGGATTTGGCATAATTAATTTGTTGCCTAGAGGCCTCACCATAGCGGTGGATAATCCTTATCAGGTCGCTGCTTTGTTGTAAATCAGCCTTACAGAACAACAAGCTATCATCCGCAAATAATAAGTGTGAAACTCGTGGACTAGCAGCGGCAACTCTCAATCCTTGGATTCGATTTCCTTCCTCTGCTCGTCGAAGTTGTGCAATTAGGGCCTCCGTGCATAAAATGAAAAGGTATGGCGATATGGGGTCTCCCTGTCTAATTCCCCGTGATGGTTTTATTGATCCTCTTGGTACCCTATTTATTAGTACATGATAAGAAACTGTCGTGATGCATTGCATAATCCATCCAATCCATCTAGTCGCAGAGCCCATCTTTTCCATCAATGCTTTAAGAAAAGGCCACTCAACTCTATCATAAGCTTTACTCATATATGTCTTGATGGCCATAAACTTCTTGCGGCAAGATTGATTTGTTCTGAGGGCATGGAAGTTCTCCTGTGCAATAAGAACATTATCCGTGATCAATCTTCCAGCAACAAAAGCTGATTGTGTCTCGGAGATCAAATCTGGAAGGAGCTTCTTAACTCTAAGACTTAGAATCTTCGAGATTACCTTGTAACTTTCATTACAGAGGCTAATGGGTCTAAAACCTGACATCTCTCTTGGTCTTTCTCCTTTAGGGATTAAGCAAATATTAGTCTCATTTATCTTCTCATCGAGGATCCCGGTAGTAAAGAAGCTTTTGACCATATCAACTACATCTGAACCTACGACATCCCAAAATTTTTGGTAAAATAAAGCCGTCATGGCGTCAGGTCCTGGTGTTTTTTCTGGATGTAGGGAAAACAGGCCCCGTTTGACCTCCGCTTCGGAGATGTCACACGTAAGAGAAGCATTCATATCTTCAGAGACCATCTCTGGGACATCCCTGAGAACCTCCACAGGGTCTTGAGGGTCTGAAGAGCTGAAGAGTGAGGCAAAGTAATCCACTACCACTTTTTCAATACCCATTTCATTATCAATCCATATGCCTTCTTGATTAAGTAATCCGAGAATGCGGTTCCTGGCTCTTCGAAGTTTTGTGATAGCATGAAAAAATTTTGTGTTTCTATCTCCTTCCTTTAGCCAAATAATTTCATGTGATCCAAGGATGCGGTTCCTGGCTCTTCCTAATGCTGTTCAAACATAAGTGTATATAAATGCAACATTCACTCCTCTTCTTTCAATAGTTTCATGTGAGTTGTAACAACTAGAACTTTCACATTCATGATTCATCTTACTAATCATTTATTTTTTGTAATAGAACTTCAACATTTTTTTTTTTGTAATAGAACTTCGACATTCATGATTCATCTTACTAATCATTTTATTTGTAATAAGTATCAATTACTAATTACCAAAATACAAGAAACAAAAATATTGTTAAATAATTTCGTATCAATTTTTATTCTTGTAAAAAACAAAAAAATTTATTTTAACTATTATTTGAAAAGCATGTTTGATAAAAAAAAAAAAAATCTAATTAGTCATCACTTTAGCAAAAGTTAGTGCAAAACAATGCTACTTTATAAATGTGATATTGCAAATTTCCTAAAATAAATAAAATATTTTGATTGGTTAAGTTAAAACTAAATAAATTTTATTTTTAAATAAAAAAAAGTATATCATATATGAATGAATTCTCATTATATAGAAATAATTCAAAATTAAAAATGAAACAAAAAATAAACAGATAAAAAAAAATTATAAATATCCTCTTAGCTAATTTTTTTATTTTAATACTGTATATATGAATAAAAAGTAGAAGTAAAAGTAGAAATGAATATTTACGATTTTGGGGGCGGGGGCCGTGGGTCGAACATAACTGTCCAAGTCGCGCGGACCCAGCGATGGGTTTTACAGTACCCATGGCCGAGGTTGGAATGCGCCCGCCCCTAGCGAGGCACCAACCGCTAAAGCCCTTCTTGCTTGCCTAATTGCTTGATTTCTTGCTTGCCTAATTACTTGATTTCTTGCTTGCCTAATTGCTTGATTTCCTGCTTGCTTAATTGCTTGATTTCTTGCTTGCCTAATTGCTTGATTTCTTGCTTGCTTAATTGCTCAATTTCTTGTTTGCTTGATTTCTTGATTTCTTGCTTGCTTGATTTCTTGCCTGATCTCATGCTTACTCGATCACTCGATCTCCCACTCGCACGAATATTCCTTCCCCACGGTAGTGTTGTTAATCTCCCTAGAATCTCTTTTTCTTGGCGAGCTTCCCCGTGGACTCGCCCATCCTCCGGGACATCATTCCTCAAGGAATCCAAGACTTCGGTCTAGCAGCTCCTGTGGCTCGTCCCGTGCCAGCTCCCTCTGCGGACCGTGCACACTCTGAGTATGCTCCCCTGCGGACTTACTCGCCCCCCGGGGCAGGACCCCCTCGGGATCCTAGGGCTCAGGCCACTCAGACCTCTAAGTCTTTCCCGTCAGTCCCCACCAAAGGGCCGCGCAGCAAACCAGGGTGCTCCTCACTAGGACACGCTTGCCACTCAGGCACAACAGGAATTGAGGTCGCCGACTCGCAGGCTTTCTCTTCCTTATAATTTCCCGACCTCTTCCCCTTCGGGGTACGTCACAAGCACGTTCTCCAAAACCCGCCAACTTCCGTGACGCGAAGACTATCAAGGCAGTAAGGGAGTCGAGGTAACACCCTCGGGAAATGCCTTGCTCCGCACCAGCTGCATACGAGTAGCGACTCCCCCATGCGTTAGCGACCTGCGACGCAGGGAACATCTATTCATCCGTCTGGTTCTTGGGCCAGTGTCTTAGCCCGCGTCATTGACTTGTGCTGATTCCCACGATCACACAAGGCTATAACTCCACTCATGACCCTGATGTGCGGGATAAGACGGATTCTCGTCTAGTGTCTCACGAAGCGAGAAGTAAAATCCCTCCGGAAAGATGGTCACCAGTGGCCGAAGCTATCAGTTCCCCCGGGAACGCCTATCCTCCTACCATGAGCAAGCGTCGCACTCTTCCGGATGCACGCCCCAGTCGGGATAGGACCCTATCATTCTAAAAACTCCCCAAGCTGACAGGCGTACTCCACCGGATGCGTAACGTAGACTGGGAGAGTCCCTCTATATGTATCTAGTATGACCGTCCCACGGTCCGTTTCCCCCGGAAGCATAGTTCCTTTGATCAGTAACATACTCATTCGGATGCGAATAAGATTGAAGTTGACTTCTACTAAGAGCTGTGCTGCAGCTCGCTTCCGCGGAAGTAAAATTCCCTCGACCAATAATGTGCTCCTCCGGGACAAACGAATAAGGTCGGGACTGAGAGTCTGTTTCGGACTACTCCTTCGGCCAAGGGCGCCTTCCGTCGTCGAACACGCCAAGGCCGGAGTCGATACCCTATCCAACTACTCTGGAAATCCGGACCATCCTGCTAGAACCACATCCCTCCGGGATGCACGACACAACTTCGACGACTCCCTTAGTCTCATATCATGGTTTAGAATATAGCTTCACCCAGACCAGTACCGTATCCCTCGTGATATGTGGCAAGGTCGTCGCGTCAAACCAGCTCGTAAGTAGCATAAGATCTAGGAAACCTGATAACCATATTCGTTTTACAGGGAACCGGCAAAGGTTCGACTCCCAGACTCATCCAAGGATGAGCCGAGGAGTCAGGGGTAACTGTTGGGACCTGTTTTACCAGGTCGAATGAGAACTCGCCACGTAGGTCTAAGCTACATCAACTACTGACACACGCCACGCTAGTTCGGCCGACCCACTCCCGCATACTGTACCGGGGCAGTTGGCGGGCTTCCTATAACACGCCTGAATGGTTATTCTCACCTACTCCCCGGGTACGCGGCTTGGAGGGGACGGGAGAAGGGAATGGCAACTATAAATAGAAGGAGAGCCCTTTGTGGGGAAAAAGAGGTCCACGGTCCGACGTCTGAGACTATATTCCCGGCCATGCAGTAGGATCACGGGTGGGCTCTATCTCCCTCTCGAGTGACTGCCGATCAGGATAAGTTATCTCCGACCTGGAATCTCGCCTTTATACCCGCTGCATTTCTCTTTTTACAAGTACAAACCCCTCTTGAAACACTCTAAACCAGACAAGGGCCTCGATCCTCGGACAAGTTTTCTCACGCTTAACCCGTAGATAATCCCTCCCTACTTGTTCCCGGTAGGACGTTCATTAACTTGGGCGTCGGAGAACATTCAGGAGGAAAACCCCCTTCCGATCCTTCCCGAAGGCTCGCCTGACATTTGCTTAAGTGTTCGCAGGATCGTGTACGATGCATGACCCGCTGCATCGCGACAGGAAACTTCCGCCCCAGAACGACGATTCACTGCCCTTCCCCCAGAGGACGAAACTCGGAGACCCGGCTCCACCCCCGACGAATCAAGAACCCCCACGTGGTATCCCAAAATTTGCTTCCAAACAGTTCTTATAATCGCTAGAAAAAAAAAAATGTTTTCAAAAGACACAAAACGATATGAAACGTTTGTGTGATTCTTCTTGAACATTAAAATTGTATATGTATAAAAATATAACATTTACATAATGTATAAAAGAAAATCAATCTTTAAATATTATAATTAATTATGTCTATAAAAAACTATACTTCTACATGTCTGTAGACGAAAAATAAAAATTAAATAAATTATTATATATTTTAATTTTTTTTCCATTTATTTAGTTATCATATTTACATTTTTATCGAAAAAAATATTTTAAAATTTTAATTAATATTTTTTATCTTTATTTTCTATTAAAATATATAATATTTATATCTAATTTATCATTAATTAATTAATCATATACAAATAAAACATCTTTAAAATTATATTAATTATAATTAAACATATAAAATATTTATAGCATGCACTACCATGTGCAGGCCGATCACTAATAACATAAATAGAGAAACAAAATGTTATGGATAAGAATGTTGCTCTTTTCTTAATTTCTTGCTCTGAGGCTCTCATATAGATATGAAAATTCCATGTTATACATAAAAGCTACAATACATATATCTTGAAACATATAACTAATCTTATAAATCAACCACTATGATTCTTACTTCTTAGCCTAACAAAGCAAAAACAAAAGACCTCTCCTCCTTTGCGATGAAGCAACTCAGGCAATGCTAAATATTCTCAGCCAAACTAGCTCCATTTTTTCAGCACCACAAGTCAAAACGAAGCAGAGCTTGAGCATGGCTAAATCCAGTGAACATCGGTCCCATACATGGCTAACCAAAAACTACCAACGGCCTATACAGTTTCATACTTCTGTTGATCTGTACAAGTGAGACGATGATAATGCGTCAGATAACTTATCGCCATAAGCAGATATGCTTATCAGACCTGAGTCTACAATCCCAAACTATCTCATGGCCGTTTCTTCACTATACGTTCCAGCAACCTTTTATCCTCGTCTTTAGGAGCATGAGGATCAAGATTCCTCAAATCTTCAGCAAACATCTTCGCCTCATCTTTCCTGTTTAACTTACAGTAACCATCAACAATGGAGTTGTAAGTGTTCTGGTTCGGTCTACAGCCATTCTTGATCATGTACCTAACGACCCCAATAGCTTCCTCAAACATCGAATCAGCCGCATAAGAACCTATAAACGTATTATATGTGATAACATCAGGAACAATCCCTGACTCTCTCATCTCCGCGAAGATCCTCGAAGCATCTTTCATCCGAGTGTTCCTACAATACGCGTAAATCACAGTGTTGTACGATATGATATCCGGTTTAATCCCTTTCCCCTGTATCTCCCTCAAAACCTCTTCCGATTTCGCGAAATCCGCGGACCGGCTATGCATATACATGAGGCTGTTGTAAGTCGCCATGCTCGGCGTGAAACCCATCTCTTTCATGTAGTCCAAAACTCCCTTCGCCTTCTGCGTCATCTGTCTTCTTCCGTATATAGACACCATTGAGTTCAATGTGGTTATATCCGGTGAAAAGCCTCTTTCTTTAAGCTCAGAGAAAGCTCGTTCGGCTTCCGGCAAGAGATCACACTTGCTACAAACCAAGACTAGTGTCTTTAAAAGCACGCCTCGTGGCTCGATGGCTCCTGAATAAACCTCTTCCGCTAAGAAATGCATCCGACCTATCTCCTTACCGTTTGCATACGCGTGAAGTAACGAGCAGTAAGTTAACTCGTTAGGTTTGCATCGACCATCTTCCATCTCCGCAAGAACTTTCTCAGACTGTTCCCACATTCCACCACGAGCTAAGGCTGCAAGAACAGTGTTGTAAGTGGAAAGGTCAGGTGTGACTCCAGCTTCGAGCATTCTCTTGTAAACAGTCATAGCTTGCTCGAACGAACCACATCGACTATAAGCACTGATTAAAGTATTGAAAGTTTCTCTTTCCGGTACGAATCCTGCTCTCTTCATCTCTTTAAACACACCAGAGACTTCAGAATCCATCCCGTTTTGCCCGAAAACCGCTAACAATGTGTTCCAGGTGACAATATCCGGCGAGAGACCGCAGATATTGATCTCGTCGAATATCCTCATCATCTCAGCAAACTTCCCTCTGTTACCATACATCTTGATAAAGGCATTGAAAGTACACATGTTCGGTTTGCATCCCGCGTTTCTCATCTCTTCGAAAACGCTCATGGCGGATTCGACTTTTCCAGCTCTCTCGAACCCCGACAAGAGCGTCGTGTAAGTGAAAACATCGGGCTTCATCCCTTTCTCCACCATCTGGTTCTTGATCTCCATTGCTTCATCAAGCATCCCATCACGCGCATACGCAGATATCAACGAGTTATAAGTCACAATGCTCGGAGTAAACCCACTAATCTCCATCTCATTCAGAACCTTCATAGCTTCTTTAGGCCTATGAGACTTCCCGTAAACATCTAACAAGGCGTTGTAAGTAACCTTATCATGACTAAAACCAGCAATCTTCATCTCCTCGAAAACCCGAGCTGCTTCTTCGTGCAGAGACCCTCGTTTACAGCAAGTTATGAGCGTGTTATAGGTATAAGCATCAGGAGCAATCCCATCGCTCTTCATCTTCTCCACAAGAGAGATGATCTTGTTCCATGGAGTACCCATTTTGCCAAACACATTCAGAACAACATTGTAAGTGATCAGAGTCGGTTTACAACCTTCTTCCTCCATCTTCTTGAACACCATTACAGCTTCTCTGTACCTTCCGCTGTTCGCGAAAGCAGATATCAGCGAGGTGTACGAATAAACATCTAGCGAAAACCCGTTTTCCTGCAAGCTATTGAACAGATTCGAAGCTGAAGAGACTCTTCCTTCTTTGCCTAACATCGAGATAACAACAGCGACAACAGAGTTTTCCAACTGATAATCCTTTTGCTTCATAAACCAATCAAACACACTCAGAGCCAAATCGAATCTCTTATGGAATCCTAATCCTTTAAGAAGAGCTAGTAACTCCGATGAAGTAGACGACGACGACGATGACTCCGTTTGATTGTCTTTATACGGCTCGAATAGCTGAGAGAGAAGAGCGTCTAATTGACCGGAATCGAAAGATGGTTCGATTAGCGAACGGAGAATTTGCTGACCTAGTGGAGATAAGCCATTGTAGGACCAAGGCTTTCCGAGGTTAGGGTCGCGGGATTTTCCGATTCGTGTCCGGTTACGGATTCTAGGGTTTATGGGTTGTCTTGAATTAGGGTTTTGGTGGAGGAATACGTCGTGGAGGAGAGGTTCTACTGGAGGTGGAGGTTGTGATGAGAGTGGCGATATAAGAAACGGCGTTCTAGAGAATTGGTGGTGGTGGTGGTTTTGGTCGTGAAACAAGGGTTTTGAGGAAGGAGTGCTTGGAAGAAGAAGAGGGAGGGCAAGCTTGTCCGCCATTAGAGAAGGAAACGGAGAGAGGGAAAAGGAGGAAGAAGCGAGAGAGAAGAAAAGTGAATGGATATTTTCTGTTAAACCTTTTTTGTTATTATTTAATTTCTTTTAAAATGGCGAATAAAAGAAAAAATGATTTCGTAAAAATGATTAAAAATGATTCAGCTCAAGTGGTTTGTCTCGTCTCATTCTCGACCAGTTAATCAGTTATTATGGTCACCGTGATTGTTTTCTAATTTTCACGTTCTAGTGCTAATTAATTTACTGAGTCGACTTGGTTAACGATTTGGTTTTCGGTTCAAACATTTTTGTAAAACCATATGTAATTTGTTCGATGCATTTTTGATTTAGTTTTAACTTTTTGCTAGGCCTTGATGTAGGCTTTGAAGTGAAGTTTCTCTTCATGTATCACTTAGGTACTAAACTCAAGTATATAATCTGAAGTGGAAACAAGAAAGCATATATATAACGAAGTAAAGTCTACAAAACATAATCCAGTGAAGCCACAACTAAAAAAACTAATTAAACCCTAAATTTTCTTCAACAAGTACTTCCATAACCCTTTTTTGGCCCATTACAGCTAAACAAAACATTAGGCTAATCATCGGAAAACATGGGAGGAAAACTCCATCAGAGGAAGTGAGGACCGATGAGCTTCGCAATCTCCAAGAACCCTACTCGTTCTCTGCCTTCGAATATCTTCTTCAGCTTCTCATCACACAATATATCCCTCTTGTTTTGTGGGTCCTGAAAAAACAAAAAATGTCATTTAGTCAAAAGGCTGATGCAATCGTAACATCAAACTAGTGTTGTAGCGAAGCTGCTTCGGCTACTAGTAGTAGTACTAGGTTGTTATAAACACTAGCACTTAGCTTCCTGAAAACTTAAAATACATTAGAACAAGATTTGCCACAGCTGGAATCTTGAACTTATACCAAACAGTCTCTAGTACCAAAGTAACAGAGATCAAAATATTAGAAACACACAGCCAAACTTTACTATAGAAAAAGGTTCAAGAACCAAATATTTGTTACCTCGGAGAACAGACATTGCCAATAATGTAAACCAGGGACTCAATCAAAGAACCATAAAACGTTATCAACATCTACACCCTAAAATCATATGAAGAAAAGAAACTGAAGGACGCAACCATACGAAAGACCCAAAAATCATGGAACCTAGGTTCATTAGCTAATAGACCAGCTCAGGATAGTGAGCAATCTCACATGGGGGAAATATGAACTATAACAACATAGTCTCCTAGTCACAACCTGTCTAAGCTTTCTAATCAAGAAATATTTGAAGCAACTCAGTTATTGACTAAGACTGCATAAATATTTATTTCAACACCTCAAAGAATACAACGCTCTACTCAAAGAATCAAAACTGCTTATACAAAACGTTACCAACATCTAAAACCCCCAAAAATCATATGAAAGCAATTAAAACCTCGAAACTAAGTTCATTAAGTAATACACAAGCTCAAAGTTCTCGGCTTTCTTAATCTCAAGAAAGATTTGAAAGTATCTAATTCTTTAAAGCTGTCTTCTTGAATCCATACCCTTCAACTTTCCCTCAAAAAACACCAAATAAGGTCTCGAATTGAAGAAAGCAACCACATGAGCACTAAGCGAATCCAAAACAGAGTGATTGATTGAGAGAAAGAGATTTGATTTACTTGAAGGTCATGTTCCTTGATGTAAGCCCAGATACGCTTAAGAGCTTGTGTGCGAGGGATTTCCGATAGTCCGACGACGTCCTGCATCTCTGGGGATACTGGTCGAGGCTTCATGATGCCGCGTGGCACTCTCTTATTGGTTGTTGTTGTGGGTTCTGAAGACGCTGATACCGCTCGCACCAGGCGTAGTTTAGTCGGAAGAGAGACGGCTAGCCGGAGAGACGAAGGGTTCGATTCGCAGCTGAACGGCGCCGTTTTGATGCAGAGGAAGGAGGACAAGGTTCCAGAAGAGACCGCCATTATCGCTGTCCGCTGTTGTGGATTTGGAGACGAAAGGGGTTTTTGTGTTATCCTCTTTCTTTTGGTTTTTCCTTTTGACTTTTGAGTGTTTTGTCAAAAAACGAAGAGAAACATTTGCCTACCATTGTTTTTATGTTTTCTATAAAAATTATTTTAAGAAATGAGAAAAATAGAGAAAACCATTAATTTACTGATCTGGTTCGACTCCTCTCCGGTTCGAGCTTTCATCTTTAGAGCTTGGTGTTATTCGAGTTAGACCATTTGCTTTCTAACGCTACTTTACTAATCCGTTCAAGATTGCTTTTCAAGATTCTTTCTAGACGTGTTTTAGTCGTGCTTTTAGAAAGCCTCTCGACTCCACTGTTCCTTAGAAACATCTCGTTTCTGTCTTGCTGAATATGAAACTTTTATTTTCTTTCGATATTTTTGTATAGAAAGATAAGGTTTGTGGAGGAATATATTTATTGTTAATAAGGTCGAGAACCTGTTTAGTAATTCTTTGTTTCTCCAAAAGTATGAAAAGTTTGTTGATTAGTGTGTGTTGTGTTTTAAGTGGTGAGTTAAAAATTTTATGTCATTTTGTGTTTTGGATTAAGATCTGTGTTGGTTTTAGTTTCTGTAATTTCCCTTATATTATTTTCATTGCGTAAATATTTCCAAATATCTTAAATATATTTATTATTTATTTATTTATGTATTTTGATAATTATTAATTATTATTTAGAGTTTTTTAGAATATTCTAGAGTTTTTATGATTTATTATAAATAAGCCGTTTATGCATTCATTGTAATTCAGACTTTGATGAATTAATAAAAAGGATTCCCTAAAAGAGGTTTTGATAAACCACTGTGAAGAGTATTCACAAACCCTAGTTTTCGGGTATTCTCAAAATCAACGTATCTAGTTCTATCTGTAGTAGATTCCGCTCCATCAAAAATTAAGTTTTGCGGAGGAATTTATTTATTGTTAATAAGGTCGAGAACCTGTTTAGTAATTCTTTGTTTCTCCAAAGTATGAAAAGTTTGTTGGTTAGTGTGTGTTGTGTTTTAAGTGGTGAGTTAAAAAAATTTATGTCATTTTGTGTTTTGGGTTAATATCTGTGTTGGTTTTAGTTTCTGTAATTTCTCCTAGATTACTTCCATTGCCTAAGTTTACCAATTCTACAAATATATACTTTAAAGTGATTAATGAAAATTTTCAGATGATAAATAAATAAAAAACCATTAATTTTATAATTAGTACTTAGTATTAGGAAATGAATATAATTATTAATATTTTTTTGTCGTTAAACATCATCATCTCCATCGACATTAACCTCTATAAATAAGAACTATTATGCATAATTGTAACATACGAAATAAAAGAGATAATAACATCATATTCAGTTCTCTTATTTGTGTGCCTTTAAACAGCTTCTCTCTCAAATCTAGTTCTCTCTGCTGCCGACTTCAAGTGCTCTAATCTCCCTCTCCGGTGTGCGGTGGTTCTCACCGCCATTGTGGGAGGGACCCTCTCTGTGATACCTGATTTTGATTATATAATCGAACCGTCAATATCCGGATAACCATCTGCGCTTAAAGCCAAACGCGTTACCTTTTTTACAAGTCCCAGAATTCGAAGGCGCCTTGTTAAACAAACAACTCCACACCAAATGCCATACTCAAACGTCCTGACTTACCTAACCCGCTAGAGGGATCAATAGAGAGAAGGAGTGGTGGGATGAGTAATTTAGATTACACAGGAGAATGAACCTATACTATCCCATTAATGTACCACAACTTAACATACGCTAAGTTCAAGCCTAAAACAGCACCATAGAAAATCCTAAAGACTTCAAATAATATCCTACGAGAACCAGATGCCAACTCCACTGAGCCCATCTGCGAACTACGGGTGACTTACGTGTGACGTTATAATTGCACCATCCGCTATTCTTTGTAAGTCGCAGTCGACGACTAGCTCGTCAACCATCTGCCATGGAACACACTAGTTTCTCGAAAACTAAAAGTCGCCAATCCACACAGGACAACGCAGTACCTTATACCGGCCCAGTGCCGTCAAGTCCCTCAGTACTCCCTCGCATATTGCCCATGTGGCTCAGTGACTATCCTCACTTCGGTATATTGATTACAGCCCCCGACAATGCAATCTCAACCATCCATCTTGGACCCACACAATGGTCCTCCACTCAAGTATATTGATCACGGCTTCTCTGCTTTATGATCTCAACTCTCATCTCAGACATTTCACAATCAATAATTATCTCACACAATACCGCATTAAGTCCCTATCCTCTTTACAAGTACTAGGCGATCACATAACCATCACGCAAGAGATCCAAACAGCAATCAAACAATCAAAGCGTTATAAACACAGTAAGGTTCGTTTTAATTCTCCTGCAACATCATTTTCAAAACCCTAAACACATCCAGGCGATCAAAAATCATACAACATGCTATTCAGACCTAACTGGGACTCAGTTCAAAAGCAGAAAGTAGTTTATGCTTGGTTTAACCCCAAACTATCCATTTAGAAAAGCAGGACACATAATATTCAAGCACGGATTCATCCTCACCTTGGCCTCAATAGGACAATGGGTTGGAGAAAAGAAGAAGGGAACTCGCGGCGTAGACATCGTGGCAGCTAGAGACGACAGATCCAAGCGGTAGCTGATTGCGCATGGTTGAAGAGCTTCAAACGCCTCACCGAATCGCCGTGGCTCTTCGGAACACCATGGTGGCACCAAGGAGAGATGGGAACGTCCAAGGAAGGAAGATAGAGAGATGGCGGCGGAGAAGGAGCAAAACGTTCAAAGGGAAGAGGAGAGAGAGATTGGGGTTTTTCTGCTTCTTTCGAACTTCTAGAATGATGAATTATGAAGGGGAGGACTCTCTATTTATACCCAATGGAAGACTTGTGCACAAAGCAAGAGATAAACATGAAAAATGAAAGATAATTATGAAAAGATAATATTTACAAATCCTTTTAAGAATATATTCATTAATATCCCATTAAAAGTGTAATATTATCCGGAATCAGGAAATATTTATCTCTCAAAGGAAATGGAAATATCGAGAAATGGGAATTGGGATTTAAACCGTTCAGTTCGGAATCTCAAATCAACTTATTAGTCTTATAATATATGTTAGTATAGAAAAAGATACCAAAGATCTTTATTTGTTGATAAACTCTCCGGGTTTGAATTTTCTAAACGGGTCTGATTTCAAAAACCGGATCATTAAAATTCTCCCTCCCTTGACGAGAGTTCGTCCCGAATTCTAAGGCATGGTCTCCACAGCCGGCTTAAGGCAATGAGGTAGACTTGGAGATCATACCGAAGAAGGCTACTGCAAAATGTTCATAGAACGGGAGTCTCGAGAATACTTTGCAAATCATTTCTAAGCAAAAAAAAATCAAGCAACAATCAATCAATCAACAATGAATATGGCTCTTAATTTAATGCATATGAAACCCCAACCCAAGACTATCGAAAACACGGAATGAAGTCAACTACACTTGTGGCTAAAGGTAACTACGCAGCTCGAAGCTAGTTACTGGATTCACAGAGTGTCTCCTGCGTACATTCTTCTAGTGGATCGTCTTCCACTTTGGCATCATATAGGGAATGAGGAGAGAAAAAAAGCTCATAAAGAAATTCTATAAGTCAGAGGTCAAGTATGCAAGGGTGGGTGTTCATGAAAGAGTTTGAAAAACAAGATAAGTGTGCGCATAGGATTTTGCAAACACGAAACTTTTTAGGACTGACCCTTCGCGACAAAACCGAAGACTCTTAACCTTGGCTCTCATACCAAACTTGTGACACCCGATTCCGATCATACAATCGAACCGCTAATGTCAAGATAATTGTATGCGCTTAAAGCCAAACGCGTTACCTTTCATCCACAACTCCCAGAATCCAAAGGCCCCTTGTTAAACAAACAACTCCACACCAGATGCCATACTCAAACGTTCTGACTCACCTAACCTGCTAGAGGGATTGATAGAGAGAATGAGTGGAGGGACGAGTAATATAGATTACCCAGGAAAATGAAACTATACTATCTCATTTATGCACCACAACTTAGTAAACGCTAAGTTCAAGCCTAAAACAGCACCATAGAAAGTCCTAAACACTTCAAACAATAACCTACGAGAACCAGATGCCAACTCCACTGAGCCTATTTGCGAACTCCGGGTGACTTACGTGTGACGTTATAATTTTACCATCCGCTATTCTTTTAAGAGCAGTCGACGACTTGCTCGTCAGCCATCTGCCATGGGAAACGCTAGTTCCTCAAAAACTAAAAGTCACCAATCCACACGGGACAATGAGGTATCTTATATCGGCCCGGTGGCGTCAAGTCCCTCAGTACTCCCTCGCATATTGCCCATGTGGCTCAACGACTATCTTTAACTTCGGTATATTGATTACAGCCCCCGAAAATGCAATCTCAACCATCCATCTTGGACCCACACAATGGTCCTCCACTCAAGTATATTGATCACGGCTCCTCTGCTTTATGATCTCAACTCTCATCTCAGATATTTCACAATCAATAAGTATCTCACACAATACCGCATTAAGTGCTTTATGATCTCAACTCTCATCTCAGACATTTCACAATCAATAATTATCTCACACAATACTGCATTAAGTCCCTATCCTCTTTACAAGTACTAGGCGATCACATAACCATCACGCAAGAGATCCAAACAGCAATCAAACAATCAAAGCGTTATAAACACAGTAAGGTTCGTTTTAATTCTCCTGCAACATCATTTTCAAAACCCTAAACACATCCAGGCGATCAAAAATCATACAACATGCTATTCAGACCTAACTGGGACTCAGTTCAAAAGCAGAAAGTAGTTTATGCTTGGTTTAACCCCAAACTATCCATTTAGAAAAGCAGGACACATAATATTCAAGCACGGATTCATCCTCACCTTGGCCTCAATAGGACAATGGGTTGGAGAAAAGAAGAAGGGAACTCGCGGC